GTATTAGAAGAAATCGGAGGAGACTGGGAACAAGCATACAATAGAGAACAATGGAAGGAATTAGTTTTAGCGGCCAAGAGTCTAAATGGCTCGTAAAAAGCCTAAAAAAAAAAAAATTAACCTAATTATTATTATGCGTTGTTTGAATTAACGTACCTACGTTTAGATATACAGGAGCCACCGATAAACGAAACGGTTGATAGAAACGTTCCCGTAACACCACTTCGGTGATGATCATTTTCACTATTATTTTCAGCAGCTGATTGCAGTTAAGAGTATTCTGAATTTTGTATTAAATGATATCAATGTACGTTACAGACCCCATCACGAATTCCATTGTCGTGGTTTCCTTACCCCGTTACCAACACCACGTTACTGATTTTTTTTTTAAGATATGATATTATATTTTTTAATAATGGTCTTTACACGGAACTTTTACTGTGTCATTGTAGCACAACGTTATCGTTGTTTATTACCGACATGGAGTTAATTAAAATATCTTCTCTACCGTCATTTCTACGCGAGTTCACAACTATTATGTTCGTATAACATAGTAATATACTTATATTATAGTATGCTGGCTGCAGCCAACATAATGCATAATACGTCCACCGTTTTATTTGTATAAGTATAATAAAATGTCATGATCATCCTCTCCGGAATATATTCGGTACGAAACTCAAATCATTCAAAATGTAACCAGATGAGTATTTTCGTGGCACTTTCCCACGCTGATTAAATTCACGTATTGTAGCTCAGGGAAAAAAATTGAATTGCATATTTTATTTTATTTTTATTATCAATATGAGAACTTTATTACACCTGACTATAGAGTTCAAAAAATTATCGATATTACTGTAACTCATTAGACGTAGTTATGATATACTTATGTGGATGACATAATCGTCGGCGCAGATTCAGAAGAGGAATTACTATTACTCCAGAAATAAATCTTTCTGTGGTCAGGTGGGTGTGAATTGAAAAAGTAGACGAACAACTGTCCTCAAATGCTGGTACTATTAATTTACGTGTTGTCCACACTTCTGGAAATGTACTTTTTAATTTTGTGTCTTGCAAGACAAAGTTGCTTCAATCAAAACTTCTCAGTTAGATGCGTCATTGCCTATACCTCGTTTAGAATTATACACCGCATTGTTGTCGACCCAATCACCTCACCAATTCAAGAGGTTCTCTCAACTAAAAACAACATCTCTCGAGTCCATGCCTGGACGTATTCATCGATTGTCCTATCGTGGTTGTCATCTGAATAAAAATGTTTGAAGATATTTGTCACTCACCGCGTCGAAAAAATTCATGCGCTGGATCCTAATTGTCATTGGGGCCACATTCGTACACACGAGAACCCTGCCGATCTGGCATCACGAGGACTTCTACCCGCATCAATGATATCGTCGTCCTTACATTGAAAGTTCCATTGGAACGAACCAAAATTTCTAACTCGTCCAGAAGAATATTGATCAAAGTCAACGTTCAGACCAATGCCATTAGAAAAGTTGACGGAGACCAAAACCGATAAAGCAACCGTTCTTCAAGTTACTATAAATTATCCGCCTATAATTGGACCTTGTCACCAATTTGGTGAACCAAACCCGGTGACTTATGTACTTATTATACATATAGTATACTCTTTTCATATTATTTTTAATTGATTAATTAGTTAGTTAAGTACTCCCCTCCCCCATCCCATTTATTGTTAAAACCAACGTCGTGGATAAGTATCTACTCATGCGTCTAACATTCAAGTGCAATTTTCTGACGTGTGTGAAGTTGCCCT